GGCTTGGGAGCACTGGCCTTCATCTATTGCAGAATCGGCTTGATATCCGGATCTTCCTGCTGTGCACGATGTAAGCTGTCCTTCCACTCGTTGCTGAGGTGGTCTTCCCTGAGCATCCTCACGGATACCACTTCCTTACTCTCTTGCCTAGTACAGTGTTTGCAATCTTCAGGACAAGGTCTTCTTGACAATGCATCTGCGTTGCCATGAGATTTCCCGCTGCGATGTTCGATCTCAAAGTCGTATTCCTGCAGTAGTTCAATCCATCTCTCAACTTGTCCTTCTGGATTTTTAAACTGCAATAGCCATTTTAGTGCAGCATGGTCAGTTCGTAAGTGAAATTTCTGCCCCAGAAGATATTTGCTAAAATGCTGCAACGACTTTACCACAGCTAGCAATTCGCGTCTTGTGACACAATAGTTCCTTTCCGGTTTTGACAACGACTTGCTGAAGTACGCTATCACAACCTCTCGATCACCGTTCCGCTGAGACAACACACCGCCGACCCCTGTATCACTTACGTCTGTGTCACAACTATAAATTCTTTGCTTGCATCAGGGTATCCCAAAATAGGTGTTTTGCACAGACGGTCCTTGAGCTCCTGGAATGCGATATTGCAACTTTCATCCCAGCAGAAAGGTCGCTTCTCCTCGGTTAGCTTATGCAGAGGTTTGGCTATATCTGCGAAGTTCTTCACAAATCGCCGGTAGTAGGAACACAAACCCAAAAATGCTCTAACCTGCGTCTTGTCTTTTGGAACCGGACAATCCTTGACGCCTTTTCTCTATCCGTCCGGATACCTTCTTCCGATACTACATACCCCAAAAAGTTAACTTGCCGTTTGAATAGTGAACATTTCTTCGGACTCAACTTGAGGTTCGCACTCTGAATCTTCATGAGCACGCGTTCCAGGTTTTGAAGGTGTTCCTCAAACGTACGGCCTACGATGATGATGTCATCCAAGTAGACCAGACAGGCATCGCCAATTAGCCCGGTAAGTACAAGTTCCATCAGCCTTTCAAACGTTGCTGGAGCATTGCACAACCCAATTGGCATTACTTTAAATTGCCACAGACCCTTCCCCGTCGAGAACGCAGTTTTCTCCTTGTCCTTAGGGTCAATTTCAACTTGCCAGTAGACACTTTTTAGATCCAGCGTGCTAAACCACTTTACTCCTGTAAGCATGTCCAGCGTGTCATCAATTCTTGGCAAGGGATAGCTGTCCTTCTTCGTAACGTCTTTCAGACGGCGGTAGTCAACACAAAACCGCATGCTGCCATCCTTCTTCTTTACCAGCACCACGGGTGAACACCATGGACTCCATGGTGTTCACCCGTGTAGTAGAGGAAGGTTCAATAACACCATCCTTTACCATTCCTTCAATCATGGTTCCTTTTCACGTGCTACCGGCAATCTTTTTGGCCGCTGACGGATAGGCAATTCTTCTCCTGTGTTTATTTTGTGTTGAACTAAGCCAGTCTTTCCTATGTCAGTATCGTTTGATGAGAATACATCGGCATACTTGAGTACCAACTTTTTTGTCTTGACAATTTCGTTCGGGGAAAGAACGCTGCGACAGTCTTCCAAAAGTGTGCTCACTCTCGTTTGTGCATCCTTGCTGGGGGTCCCACTCGATAGATATTGGCACCGACATAACCAATCCACTTTCCTCACAAGTAGCAACCCGCGTGCCTCTTTCTATAACCTGTTCCTGGCCACAAAGGTTCAGCACACGTACTCCTGAGATGTCAGTGGTTCTGACCAAGGTTCGAGCTATTTTCCATGGAAGGTCATTGTTTACCCTTTCCACAAGTACACAACAAAACGCTGGGCAAGCTCACGCCCAGCGTTTCGAGGAAGACTAACCAGAACAATCGTTTCCGATCTCGGCGGAAGAACAATCTTCTTAATGCTGTACACGTTCCCTGGTAACGCACCTTCCATAAAAAGTTCCTCCTGTCCACATTTCAAAACACCTTGCTTAACGTCGATCTCACAACAGTTATTCCTCATAAAGTCTAGGCCTAGGATGCAGTCCTCCATTATATCAGCCACGATGACATTATGCAGGTAGATCACGTTGCCTAGCTTCAACTCCACCTCCTTCTCTCCACGGACGAATATACGCTGACCGGTGGCTGTTACCAAATTAATGCGTTCTCGTTTGTATGCGGAGTCCCCAAGGAACTGACTTCTAAGTTGGGAAATAACAACCGTACGAGAGGCTCCAGTGTCTATGGTCAGTTTACACGGCATTCCGTTGACCTCGCCCTTGATGATTAGACCGTTCCCATCATGGGTTTGTGAGATCGAGATCCTTGGGGCTCTTTTAACATCAGCCAGCACCCGCCCCGCAGTTCTGGCTTTTACTCGTTTCCCTGCTGCTGCTGGGCGGTGCTGTTGGCCGCACTACCCTCCTGAGATCGATCACCTTCCCTTTCTAGGGTTCGCTTAGGGCAGCTGGATCGAAGATGGCCCTTTTCCCCACAGCCATAGCACCTAGGGCTGTATCCTTTGTTGCGGTCGCGAACTGTAGCTGCTGCAACCTCCCTGACGCGATGGAAACGATGATCCTGCCGCACGGCTTCTACCTCCAGTGCATGGGCCAAGGCGTCCTTAAGCGTCTCGTGGTGACCGAGCTTCACAGCAGCTCTGACTTCCAGGTCGCGGATGCAGTTGATGAATGTCTGCACCAGGTTCCCTTCAATGAGCGCAGGTACAGACCGCGGTATGCTTTTCGCACCAGCTTCTCCACCTCTAGAGCCCACTGCTGCAGGTTTTCGTTTATGCGCTGCACGCGATCTTTAAGCTGCGCACGAAAGACGTGTTCCAGGTGAGCGTCGCCATATCTCGCCTCCAATGCCTCAAGGAGTTGCTCATAAGTCACTTCCTCACCGAGAGCTTCCAGAACTGTTGAGGCCTGGTCGCGCAGGCCTAGTGTGAGAGCAGTCATGGCCTGACTTTTATTCCAGCCGTTCGCCTTCATAACAGCCTCGAACTGGATTTTGTAGGCTGACCAGGAAGAAGTCCCGTCGAACGGTGGCACTTTGAACCCACGTAGCGAAGGTGTAGTAGCTACTACGGGAGCTGTAGTTCCATCCCCCAGTTTGAGTTCGTCCAGTGATTTCTTCATGTCAGCCATTACGTTGTCAACCCGATTGTTTACTTGGTCGATTCGGGTTTCAGCTTCCGACAGGCGGTTGTCATGTTGAGCAACCTTATCCTTCACCTCCCGTATCTCTTTTTCGAAGGTAGCGTGAAGGTCCTTCATGAGGAGCATCTGCTCTTCCAACCGACGGGCCTGTTCCTCTTGTCGGCGGGCCTGTTCATCCTGTCCGCCCCGCAGCTGCTCTTCCAGCCGACGGACCTGTTCCTCCTGCTGCTCTTTCCACTGACGGACCTGTTCCTCCTGTCGGCGAGCCTGTTCCTCCTGTCGGCGAGCCTGCTCCTGCAGCATCACCATCAGAGCACCTAAGTCAGGTGCTGCAGATGTAGGAGCTACTGACGGGCCTGCAGCCGGCGGCTGGCCCTCCGACGTCTGCGGCGTTGCACCACCAAATCTTCTTTGGTCCGTCTCCTGCTGGCGTTGACTTCGGGTACGGGCACCCTCCGTTTCCTCCTTAGGTAAAATCGGCATGATTTTATCCCACTTCTCACACCAAATGTTACGAGCTTGAGGTTCGTGACAATAAAAATTGCCGATAGAATTACCTAAATTAACACTTTAATTTTCTTTACACCAATTAAAACTTAAAACACTAAAAATTAATCACACTGATTCACTTTATTTCGCTCCGAAGCTTCGCTTGTCTCGCCAAATTCAATACTTCCCCGATCGCATCTTGCAGCGCCTATAAATACAAATTAGCACCGAAACATCCAGAATATTCAAGTAAACACGCGCAAGGGGCCGAGAGTTCGAGCGTCAGCTTCTAGAAGCTTAGTTCTTCGTTCCGAGACTAGATGGCGCTGTCGTTTGAAAGAAGTGATGTCATTTTCTGGAAAGCTCCTCTCGCTCTCGTCCCTGACACTAGATGGCGCTAATGCCGGATACATGACGTCAACTTATTCGAGCAACATTATTATTGATGATCTAATGAGAGAGTCCGATGTAACTTTAAACTCGAACAGTTTTTTGTATTAGATTAAATAGAAGATTTATAAAGAAATAAAAATAATATATTGCATACAATTTGTTTTATTTAATTTTGTAACGTTTCACATAGTTACATACACACAACATGCATTACACGTAACACATAAAATCTAACACACAAATTATAACCTTAACTACTATAGTCTACAGTAACATTTTGTATCTCATATATTATCAAACTCAGCATAAACTATACAGTTAATTGTTTGTATTAGTGAGGATTGAATCCTAAGTCAAATGCTACAGTAACCTTTGGCATACTGTTCACAAGATATTCCATTTCCTTCATTAATTATATTATTAAGAAAGTGAATACCAGTTCCCGAGAATAGAGTATATGCTGATGTAAATACACCTGAACGTATTTGTTGACCATCAATATATAAGCTGAAAGAATTAATACCACAGTTTTCAATGTTAAGTGGATTTTTAGTAAGGGAACCATTAAATGCAGAATTGTTCACAAATCCAATTATACATCTTTTGGGTACCGGTCCTAAAAATATATTATCAAGAGTTTTTCCTTGAACACCCGATGGAATTGTTAAAACTTTTATCACCACTCTAAATATCTATTCAGCTCGAGTAATAGGATATTTAGCAGTAGTAGAAGCTAACACTTTTTGATGTGCGAGTAATACACTTGGATTAATTCGTGCTCGTCGAACAATAAGAGTTGCGTCCGTAATGCAAACTTTAAACTTTACATCGTTTGACCCAGCAATTAAATTAAAACTCTCTCTTGATCGAACCAATTTAACACTCATTTCAACACCATTAATTAAAAATTTATCTTGGTTGAAAATGTCACCGTGAAGATGACCAATCATTTCTATTTCCTTACTTTCACTAATCCATTCCTGTCTTTTAACAAATCCTATGGTTTTACCATCTGTAGAATCCATTTTTCCTGCTGTATCCTCATACCAAAGACTACAAGTAAGATGAGATTGTTTAGCAGCGGGAGCATAGTTTAAAAGCGTTTCCATGTATGCTCGATATGCATAGGTATTATTAGGTGGTGATACAAGTTTTTGGTTTAAATAAACATCAAGTTGACTAAAAAGTGAATGCAGCCAATTATTTACAGGTGCTACAATTGTAGTAGATATCAAGTTAGTTGAATCCTGATTTAATACCTGTGCCGGACGGGCGAAACTCTCCGGAGTAAATGTTGTCGAAGATACTTCGCGAGTCGCTCACGTCCTACACCTATAGGTTCCGGTGGGTACTCTCACCGCCGTCTTTGTTGGTGCCGCTGAAATATTGTGGACTGTAGTTAAAATCAAAATGCACGATTAACAAATACAAATAGCAAGGTAGTGGCCAACGGTTCGACTGATTGATTAGTCGCGAAATTTTATAACTATTTATCACGGTTGTTAAACTACGGTTCTTCACTGTATATTTCAAAAGATTTCTTTAAATTGTACGGTGGTATCAAATATCTATTGGTAGTAGCTGGTTTTCTAACACTACTGACTAGCAGCTATTATCAACTAAACTAGTTGATTTTATCACTTGTGTAACTGCGGATATCAGTTACCACTTTCACTATATGTAACTGTGAATATCAGTTACGACCTTTTTAGGCTAGCTAACACTTTCACTATATGTAACTGCGAATATCAGTTACGACCTTTTTTAGGCTAGCTAACACTTTCACTATATGTAACTGCGAATATCAGTTACGACCTTTTTTAGGCTTGCTAACACTTTAACTATGTAACTGCGAATGTCAGTTACGACCTTTTTCGGCTAGCTAACACTTTCACTATATGTAACTGTGAATATCAGTTACGACCTTTTTAGGCTAGCCAACACTTTCACTATTCACTATATACTGCTACTAGTCACTTCAGCTACCACCGGATACCACTCACTTCACTTCACTTGTCACTGGTAGTTCTTCACACTACTACGGATACTGGGTCCCGAGCCCCTAAGGTAGACTTTAGCAATACTTTACAGTGAGCCGCTTGCCATTTTCCGTTTTGCCTCTTTATTGCATAAACTTTTCACTATACAAATGGCATGAATTGCAATATTCTCTATACAAAACTAATTGCTACACTAACATGCTATACATCATTAAATCGGTAGTCTGATACTTTATTAGTATATCATAAAGGTTACTAAAAACATTAACATTGTAAAAAGTTATTAAACGAAATGTCCCAAATTTTCATAATATTTGGGCATTTTAATTCTTTAATTTTTCTATAACTACGAAATGCGTTTAATTATACAAAGTATTCCTACACTTTTGTAGTTGCTCGTATAAGAAAGCGTCGATAAAATAGAGCGGGTTTGCTGGCGGGATGTTAACTGGAGAGCATACAGTAGCAGTTAGATGAGCAATAAATAACACTTCTTGAGATTTTCTTCTTATTTCATTTCTTGATTCCTTATTATTACATTGCCGGATTTGGAATGTTTTACCACGAAAAACGCCCCTTTTTTATAAGCGGCTGTAACCAATCATAATTAAGAAAAAATCGCACACGGCATTAGTGAATCTATTGACCAATCAGAGCACAGAATAACCCTTTCTAAGAGAGATTTACAATTTTCTTAAAAAACGTGGTAAAACATACCTTACAACGTTTATATTTATTCCTAACGATAGATACAACTTATTTCTATTATTCTAAACCTAAATTATTCAATAAACCTTTATTTTACACTTATAAAAAATAAAAATAGCTTCGCGGTCGCTTCACGGTTTAGCTCCGGAGTAGGATAGTATTTTTTTGCCGAACATACAAGTAGCGCCGCCAAGAGGTAGGAATGTACAACACTTTTTTCAGGATTAATGCTTAAGAATCTATACAATATTTTTTCATAAAATTTAAATCTTTCTCATAATGAAATGACATTATATAGTGATTAATTGACATATTAATGTTTCTTTTTAATTACTTTAAAGTAAAAAGAATTATATTAATCACCTATATGTTAATAGCTCTTAAAGTTATGATAAAAAATCTTACTAGAAAATAAGCTTATACTTGCGTCTAATGTTCTAATCAGACCTAAATAATATTAAATAGATTCATATAAGTTACTTTAAGATAAGAATAGAAGTGTTTAATTTACTTTCCTGTTTTCAGCACTATCAGTCTTTACACTTAGCTTTATTTTACGAATAGGAAACAATTAGAATTAAATACTATCACTTAGTTTTAAATCACTGATAAGGAATAATTAAGATTAAATGTTCGAATTCACTTTGTCGTCGCTAACAACTTTCTTAATCTATAAGCCATATGCTAATTCAATGTCATATTTATAACTCTTTTAGGACATAAAATTATTTTCATTATTTTTAGTATGATCTATTACGCAGTTAATTAAAAACTTCTAGAGAGTTCCACGATAAGACGCGCTGTGATTGGTCGATTTTTTGGTATATAATAAAAGTTGTTTATATTACTTGTTATCAAAACGACATTCTATACAAACATATTGAGAGTTATAAATATGCTAAATAACTATATTAATACACGTTTTCAGTCAGTTTTATCGGTAATTTCATTATTAATACAAAAAACAATATTCTTTATAACTTTGTTCTTAAGGTTGTTAGGCCGTCGCGAACATCTCTCCCGCCGTGCAGCGTCGCGACGATTTTCTCACAGCGGCGCTGCATCCATTTCGGTGAGCGACGTTGCTTCCACTTCGGCAGCGGCACGAGTTTCCTGGTTGGCCTCTTGATTAGGCCGTTTGCTGTGCGTACCTCCACAGTGCGGATCTGTCCGTCCGCACCGGGGTAGACAGCTTCCACCCTCCCTCGTGGCCAGGTGTTACGAGGTAACTGGCCGTCAGCTATGAGGACTGGATCGCCCACTTGGAGATTGAGACCTCGCCCATGGGCCTCCCGCCGGTTTTGAAGTTCCGGTAAATACTCTCGCACCCAACGCTGCCAGAACATGTCAGCGAGTATCTGGGAGCGTCGCCAGTGTCTTTTGCTATTCATATCCTTCTCATCAAATACTCCAGGTGTCGGTAATCTCGCAGATCCTCCTAAAAGGAAGTGATTCGGAGTGATGGATTCGTCGTCGTCGCTGTCTACAGAGATGTGAGTCAATGGTCTGCTATTTACTGTGTACTCCACCTCGCAGAGCAGCGTGGCTAATACTTCCTCATGCGGATGTCTCTCATGAAGGACGGTGTATAGTGCCGTCTTCACGCACCGTGTGAGACGTTCCCATACTCCTCCCATGAAAGGCGCGGAGGGGGTTATAAAACGCCACACTATGCCTCGTCTACTGGCTTCTTCTCGAAAAGCCTCCCGAAGTTCCTTGTCTGCACCGTGCATGTTGGTGCCATTGTCGGAGTAAATCTCGGTGGGGCACCCTCGGCGAGCTGCGAATCTTCTTAATGCCAGTATTGCGGAGTCAGCGCTGAGGTTTGCGACAACTTCTAAGTGGACAGCTCTGGATGTGAGGCGGATGAAGAGAGCTACGTATCTCTTCTGATGTTGACGTCCCACAGTGACTGAAAGTGGCCCAAAATAGTCCAGATCGGTGAAGGTGAACGGTCTCTGGTGATGAGCGAGACGTGTACTAGGATGGTCACTGGTCGCTGGCACTGATGGTTGTGCTTTTCTGATGCGACACTGTATGCATGGGCTCACTATCTTTTTCGTAGTGGGTCGAAGTCGGATCACCCAGTAGTGCTGTCGAACCTCGTTGATGGTAGGTTCGGTTCCGCAATGATGCAGGCTACGATGTGTCCAGTCAATGTATAATTGTGTGATGTAATGATCACCATCCAATATAGCTGGCCCCTTCATGTCTTCTGTGACTCCCTTCACGGCGGCTATGCGACTTCGTAGCGCGATGATCCCGTCTTTCAATTCTATTTGAAGCGGTCGTAGGCGGCTATCATGAGCGACCTTTTTATTATTACGGAGATCAGTTATCTCTTGTGAGAAGGAGCCCTCTTGTATGGCACGTATCAGGAGCTTTTCGGCCTCTCTGATGAATTCGGCCTCTAGTGTGATGTACCTTTTGACATCTCTATTTTTCACTTGACTGGGAGGCTGCGCGATTTGTCGCGGATTATTTTTCGATTTCCTCCAGTCGGGATCTTCCTCTTTGCCCCTTTTTGGTTCTTTTATAGAAGGTCCTGTCTGTAGTTTTGCGGCAGAGTGTTATAAATTGTAGCACAATAAGCGTTCCCATCTCGAAAACTTTGCTGAATCGGGAACAGCTTCTCGGAGTATCGGAGCTTGATGAGATTCCTTAATGGTGAGGGATCTTTCCTCACCTGTAGGTTCGGATGACGTGGGTCTTTCGGTTGGCCATTCTGTAGGTTCTTTATACAGAAATGATGGGCCGTTGTACCACTCGTGATTGGAGTCGAAGTTCGGTGGTACGTCCCTCGTGGCAATGTCAGCTATATTCAATTTGATAGGTACCCAGCGCCAGTCCTCTACTTTACTATGTTCCTCGATTGCCGCTATTCGGTGGGCAACGAAAGGTTTGTAACTCCTGGAGCCCTTTTTTATCCACGTGAGGACAGTTTTGCTGTCAGTCCAATATGTGACGGCTTCGGGCGTCACGCAATGTGCCTGGATAACGGCGGTAGCTACGCGGCTTCCCATCACGGCGGCTTGTAACTCGAGTCGAGGCATGGACGTTACTTTCAGCGGAGCTACCTTCGCCTTAGCCATGATCTCCAGTAGACTGCCGTTGCGTAGGCGCTCTCACTGGCACCGGTGAACACATGGACTTGGAGTGAACGTGCGTCGCTGAATCCCAGGTAGCATCTTGGGATGCTTACTGATTTGAGCTGTTCCATGTGTTGGATCCATGTGGACCATTGTTTAGTCAGGTCTTCGTCCAACTCCTGGTCCCATTCTGTTCCTCGTCTCCATGCTTCCTGCAATATTTGCTTTGCTCGAATTGTAACTGGGGAGGCGAGGCCGAGCGGGTCATACAGCGACATTACTATTTTGAGTGCTTCCCTTTTTGGTTGGTGTTTTATGCAGCAAATTGATTGGAAGTCGAGCGAGCTTTAGGTTGAAGCTCAGCTGATCGGTACCCGGTTTCCAGATTAATCCGAGTATCTTTTCCTCGGTTCCTTTGTTTCCCAGATCGACTGACTCAGATGCTTCATGGTCAGGTTCTAATTCTTTTACAACTTCTGGTGCGTTGGAAACCCATTTTCTTAAGGTGAAGTGCGCGTTTTTGTGTATGTCGCGTACTTCCTTCGATATTCGCATTGCCTCTTCCAGAGACTGGAAACTGTCGAGATAGTCATCCATATAGTGGTTTTGAATGATAGCTTCTACGGCTTCTGGATACTTGTCTATGTGTTTTTTAGCGTTCCAGTTCTTCGCGAATATGGCTGTGCAGGGTGAACTGGCTGCACCAAAAATGATCGACGTCATTCTATATTCTTGTGGAGCTTCATTACGTCGATCTCCTCTCCAGAGATATCTTAAGGCATCTCTGTCTTCGGGTCTAACTTTGACCTGCACGAACATTTCGGCTACGTCCGCGGAGACAGCGATTTTATGGCGGCGAAAACGCATCATTACCCCTGGTAGTGATTGCAGTAGGTCTGGACCCGTGAGCAGGAAGTCGTTCAATGACACCCCCTTTGTTTTGGCTGCGGCATCGTGTACTATTCGAAACTTCTCTGGCTTCATTGGGTTATGGACGTCGAAATGGGGTAGGTACCATGTTCTTCCCGGTGTGCTAGTTTTCGGTGCTATCTCGGCGTATCCCTTTTGTACTAGGGAATTCATTTGTTCATCATATTTCCTTTTTAGATCTTCGTCTCGATCTAATTTTCTTTCAATGGACACGAGCCGTTTTATTGCTGTTTCATAATTACCAGGCATCTCGATATCCTTTTTCTTCCAGAGAAGCGCTGTTTCTATGTGCCCGTCTTGTAACTGACGGGTGCTGCTATTTAGTATATCTTCAGCTTTCTTCTCTGGGTCGAAGTCTGGTCTTCTCGGATTGATAATGAGAGATTCTAGCGCGAAATATTCGAGTTGGTCATCTATAGTAACCTCGCTCTTGTGCAGCTCATTGACCGCGTGGACGCGCTGATACGGGGCTTTAGTGTGTGCCCCGTGTAGCACCCATCCTAATTCTGTGAGCGAGGCAATTGGCTGGTGCGGCGGACCTCTTCGGATTTGAGTGGCTATCAGAAGTCTCCAATTGTCCTGTCCTATTAGGATCCTTGGGTTGCCGGAGTCATATGTTAACTGCTCCTTTAGGTCTTTCAAGTGCTTACACTTGGTTATGTCTGCTGCACGCACAGTCTGTGGCCCCAAGTTTAGGCTTTCAACCGTGCGTGCTCTGAATGGCACCCTTTTGCTGTGGAGACTCTTCAGCGATATTTTGATTCTTCGGGATTCCGGTGAATCGAGGGTAGTGTTCCCGATAGCGGTGATCTTAAACGGGTCCAACCACCCTGTAGCTCCAATTTGTTTGGCAATCTCTTCATCCATTAGTGATACAGTTGACCCATCATCCAGCAGGGCGTGTGTGTTTACAGCTCCCGCCGGTCCAATTACTCGCACTGGAATTATTTTTAAATAGGCTTGATGCTTTGACACACTGAATGAGTTAGCAACAGTTTCTTGAGGTTCCTTTTGTTTGACCTCAGTCTTCTCCTTTGTATTGTTATGGAGAAGTCGATTGTGTGTCGCGGTGCATCCTTTTATTCCACACTTAATGGTTTTACATTTATGTGTCTGATTTCTATAACATAAATTACAAATTTAACACATAATTAAAACATAAATTATTTTGCTTTGCGAGTTCCCATCTTTTGTTGATATCTGCTTCTTTAAATTTTTTACATTCGGATCCGTAATGACCCTCCTTTTCGCACACTCTGCATTTCGGAGACGGCTTAGTAGTAGCCGTGTGTGCTCTATGTACTGAACGATTGCTTTGTGCTTCGTTTATAATTTCTGGAGGCGCAAATGCACTGCAGAAGCGAGCTTGCTCGGTAATAAACTCGCTGAAGCAGCCAAGGTCTGGTCTAGAGTCGTATTTTTCAGTGTATATTCTATACCACTGGGCACGTATAGAGTTTGGCAGTTTGTCGGTGAGGTGTCGTAGCAGCTCTGCGTTGACGAGGTAATGATCTCGTTTTAGGGCTCGAAGAGTGACGACGCTTCCCCTCACTTTGCTCGCGAATGTGCAAATGTCTCTAAGTGATTCTGTACAGCGTGCTAATCCTCGTAACTTCTCGGTTTCTGCTTGCGCGATTGAATCTGGACGCCCAAATTGTAGCTCCAGTTCTCGCATAATCTCATCTGGCTTAGCATGCCCGATGAGTTCTGAGCTGACTATTTCCAATGCTCTTCCTTGTAGACTTCGTCTTAGTCTAGCAGTGTTTTCAATGTCATTGAAGTAGCCTCGGGTTGTTTCGTAAATGGCACGGAATGAAAGCCACTCGGTATGTGCTCCGCTAAAGCTTGGCAGTGTCATTATAGCTTTCGATGTTGCGAAAGTATGCGACGATAGTGGCGCACTCTCCAACTTTGGTTTGTCAGCGAGCGCGGCTATAGCGGATGTGAGCTCCGATATAAATGGACGGAGCCCCCTGTCTTCACTTATGACAGGTTCCTGGCTAGGTTTCTTTGGATTGGGATCCTTGGGTACATCTGCTGGATAGGAATCCTGGTTTGTGAGCTCTGATACAATAGGTAGGAGCCCCCTGTCTTCATCAACGGTGGGTTCCTGGCTGAGCTTCTGTGGCATGGGATGCTTTTGTGCATCTTCTGGATAGGAATCCTGGTTCGTGAGCTCCTTTTGGGGCTCACTGAGGTCGACAACGTCCGGGGTCGGGTGATTGCGCCTTGATTTGACTTTTGTTTGGCTACAGAGTTTTCGAGCCAAGATCGAACGTACTCACTTTTGGAGTGACCATCTTCATCATAGTCGTCTGATTTGTCTTCTTCTTCAGCCATCTGTAAGGAGATCTGCGCAAGTTCTAGTTTGATCTTCAATACTTCTTCACGAGCCTTCAAAATTTTTCTATTGGGCCGAACAGTCTTCTTTGACTTCATACTGTAATCGGTGTGGCCCCTCGGTGGCTCTTCGGTGTAGGTGTCTTCCCGGGCTGGTGGCGATGATGCACGGCTAAAGTCATCGTTGCCTGCTATATGTTCCCTTTGCTTCGTTGTTCGGGTCGTAGTGGACGGCGCGGGCAGGGGTATCCCCCCTCGGGGCGGCAGCATGGCGCCTC